TTGTCATTACAGTGGAACAGTAACAATCGGCAAGTATCTATAATTTTCCAGTGCGCTTACCATCTTTTCGCTAAATTTCTTTTTTACTCAGCCATATCTCAATCTCGGCTCGAAAAACTGAGCTATATTACTAAACCACTATAGCCCAGGAAAACTCGCACTAACCTGGAAAGAATAAGAGACAACAGAAGGACAGAACGGACTACTGAATGGTATTCAAGCAATGTTTAAGGAGCACAGAGAGAGTCCTCTGATTAAAAAAGATCAAAATGGAAAAAAGTGAAGAATTTGCATGAAGAAAAAACATGAAAAAAAGTTGATAAAAAACGATGACAATGGAACAGAATTTAATTCAGAGTATCTCAATTTTAGTGCTCCATACATTTTCAGCAAGCGGTGGGAAGGGGATTTTTGCAGTTATGGGCAAAATATCACTTGTTTGCGTATTCTGTCAGTATTCTTCGGAGTTTTCTTGGATGAAAAACGCCAAAAACGAGAGCTTTCCTGGATTACTACTATACTGAGCTATGCTTCGTTACAAAGTTGATCAAAGCACATGCATTTGGGCTGTTGCCATCTTATTACACCTGACACTGCGGGCATTATTTGGAAGACCAAATTCACGCTAGAAATGGACTCCGGCATGAAGAACAGCATTACCCTGTAGGCACGTGTGCGACATTCTTCAGAATCGTTATGTGTTGCTCCAACGCGTTCTGCACTGAAATCAATCAAAACACATGCAAGCTGCACTGACTGGAATAATTTAAAATTAAAATAAATGGTCAGCGCACCGACTGCCGGTGAGAAGATGCGTTTTTTGCATAATTCTCCGCAGTTTTTGTAGCCACTGGCACCGGTTTTTCCGGCAAATGCTTCTAGCTAAACGAATTGAGACTGATCGCTAGGGGTTTCAGGAAATACTCCCTTAAAGTTCCAGTCTTCAAGCTTTTCAAGTTTCCGCGTACGCAAATTATCCAAAAAAAAAAAATTTCCCGGTCCCGTAAGTGGGAACTACGCATACCCGGTGCCCAGTTTTGAACTCATTAAGACCTACACAGACGGGAAACATCTGCTCGAAATTACAGCCTTCTAGTTTTCCTGTTTCCCAACTTAGCAACTTACCCGAAGCAAACTTTCCAGGACCCGTACGTGGGAGTTACGCATGTCCGGGGACTCGGTTTGAATTCATTAAAACCTACATAGGCGGGAAACACCTCCTTGAAGTCGCAGTCTTCTATCTCTTCAAGTCCCGAGTTAGCAATTTATCCGAAAAAAATTTCCCCGAGCCCGTAACTGGGAACCACGCGGGTAAGATGCCCATTTTTGGGGTGAATGTCTGTACACGCATATAAATTAAGGCTCCAAAATTTCAACCCTGTAGCTTTTGCAGGTCTCGATTC